AGAACTTGAATTAAGAAAATATGTTTTTTTTAATGTAAATATAAGTGCATGTGTGAAATAAAAGTTTTATTTCAGCAAACATAAAGATAACGAAACTGACGTGTGGGTTTTTATGGGTCAATCGATAGATTGGTCGGGATCTACGAAAGAGAATTTTCTCCTTCCTGTGTTAGCGTCACTCAGTCATGTCAAATAAAAAATCAGGAGAAAGCTCTGTGGATTCTTCCTTTCTATCCTGCAGACAGACCTGCAACAATACAGGAACGAAAGGGAAGGGACCTGAACAAACACAGAGCAACAGCTGTGTCAACCAAACACACACAACACACACATGCAAACACACACACTCCTCAGAAGCCTCATGAGCTCTCTCACATCCAGTTTAACAGGATACACATCCTCATGGACAGAAAGTGGGAGAGGATTTTGTTGTCAAACCTTTTACGTATAATTATTTTTTTTTTAAAACATTGAAAATGATCTAATCTTAACTTATTCACTTCCACAGGATGTCATGTTGTTGACATCACGCTAACAAACAGCGTGGCGTGTTATGGGTTCATGATATCACTTGAGGGTGAGCTCAGTGTTCTCTCCTCACAGCCTTGACTCTGCACATTACTACACATCACAGCAGCGACAGTTTCTCCCTTTGACTCGTGCGTCTCCCCCCTTCAGGGACCCTCACCTATGAGTGCATGACCCATTTTGTCCTCTCTGGATCTTCACTGTGGCGCCGCCCCCTGAGAGAAGCCAATGCCGCTGAGCTTAAAGACACGAGCAGACATGTCAGCTCAGCTCGCAGTGAAACACACGGACAGCTTTCACCAAGGCTCAGCCGAGAGTTTTCTGTATTTCATCTAATGAAAAGAACCAAAGGCTCCAAGCTTCAGTTGGATGCAGCTTCTACAAAAGCCACAAAAGAACAGAGGAGACTAATGTTTAACCCGGAGTTCGTCTGCTCCTCAGCCTGCAGTTACATAACCAACCAGCACAAATGGTTTTTAAGAGAAGCAGAGGAGGATCACGAGGTCGCCGCTCCTCCGGACTCCCACATAAATCCAGCCAGAGGTCAGAGGTCAGGCCGAGGAGTCGTGAGGAGCCTTTCCCACGACCTGCACCCCACAGGTGATGGGAGACACTGAGAAATCCTCCCACCGGCGATGCTGTTTTTAATTTCTCCCTTGTTTTCTAACGACACGTGAAGAAGACGTTGAGGCCTGCGGCTCCAAATCTCTGTGATTCTGCAAAAACACGCACGTTATGAGCGATCAAATAAATTGAGCCTCATCCAGCTCAGACACACACGCACAGAATTAAAGACTCAAGCTTCGTACAGAGAGAATAACGTCTTCACATATCGACATGTCATCCTCTCCATTTCTCTTCCTCATCAATCTTGCATTTCTGCATAAGGACGACGGCATCTTGCCTTGACCGCTCGTCCACATATTTCTGTAACGCTGTGTTCAATTGGTCTCTGTGCACGTACGCATGTAAGAGGAGGAGAGGAGGATGGAGAGAGCGGTCACGTGCCGCTGAGCGGAGGAGAGGGAGGAAGAGCGCGTCTGCCAGCTCTGACACAGCACTCTTCCTCAGCAGGAGAGAAAAGAGGGAATTCGTTGAGAAGATGAGCGACTGTAACTCTGCTCTGTTTCAGCCGGTTCTTCCTGCTCTGTGATCACGTGACGCTTCAGCCCTGATTCACTTAAATGAGAGTGTGTGAATGTGTATTTGTTGAGTGTGTGTGTGTGTGTGTGTGTGTGTGTGTGTGTGTGTTTTACGTGGCCCTGGGGCTGCAGGCACTGCGTCAGACACTGAACCCAGACGAGTGTGCGATGCTCTGGTTCAGTGATGCTTCCAAGGTCAGCAACGCTTTGAATGTGTGTGTGTGCATGACTGTGTCCTTTTCTGTTTCATCTTCCCTCTCCTCACGGGGAAGCGTAAACACACACACACACACACAGAACAATGACCTTAATCAGCAGCCAATCGGATATTTAAAGGAGCAGTCCGACACTTTTGGAAACGTATTGTTGCGATGAGTTAAATGCGAGTCTGCAGGACTGGAGACAGGTGTCTGTTATCTTTATCTATCTATCCGTTTGTGGTTTGAGGGGGGGGAGGGGGTGTTAGTGTCGGAGTTATCCAGGTTTTCTGTCCAATCATCTGGAGTCTCTGCGCAGCGTCTCCGACTGTGGGTTTGAGTTTGTTCTGTGTGTGTGTGTGAACGATTTCAAATCTGGCAAAGTCACTGAAGCTGCACAGTCATGATGCGAAGCCTCCGAATCAAGGTTCCCTCCCATAAATACCCCCTCCACCAATCGTGAGTCTGCCTCAGCTGTCAATCATGACGTTTCACTCCAGTTTTAAAGCATCAAATAACAAGTTAACTTCACCAGTGGTGCCCTGGTGTCCTTAATACATCTTATTCTATCCATATCCAGTGATTCTATCTGTAAACCAGAGTTGTATGTGACTTAACGGCGTGAGATGAAAACCTGCACGACACGATAACATCCAGAGAAACGGCCCCGAGTCCCCTCTGGAAAAATAACATGGTTCTGTTTTTTAATCACAGGCCTGAAACATTCAGCTCTCTCTCTGTTCCATCAGTCTGAGCAGCAGCAGCGTCATTTAGAGACAAATGATGAGAGGCCTTGTTTTCCTTCTGCTGCTCTGTGGGACTGATGCTCACATGTATTCATGAAAAAGAGGGTGGGAGAAGCTTCTGCTGCTGCCCATCCCCCCCCTCCTTCATCCTGGCTGCTACATCCACTGCTGCAGAGAGAGGAGCTGTGATGGTGTCGCCCTCTCTCCCTCCCTCCCTCCCTCCCTCCTCTGCCCCCTCCACCAATCCCATCCCAGCTCCCACCTCTGCCGCACGGAGCCCAGGTGTCGCTGCGTTTACTTACTGGGAAACATTCCCAGTGTTCATCTGGAAAAGACGATCCAGTGGCTGCGTGTGCCCGTCTTCAGTTCTACTAACTGGGTTGTGTAACTGCCAGCGACCAGGCCTAAATAATGAACCAATGCACGGATGATTGTCGTGTGAAGCTGCGTTGTGTTCTGTCGTAGGTGTGCAGATGATCTCATACCAAAATGTGGCTTCATTATAACAGGGAAATCTTTTATAAGAAGAAATACCAGTGGTGCAGGGTGTCAGAATACAAGTGTGTGCTCCCAATGTAGGACTGGGCCATAAAAAAGATCAATAATCATCCCAATATGATTTTAATCAATAGCAATATAACAAGTGTTCAACGTATATATTGATATGTTGCTTCTGCATCGTGCAAACAGACAGGATTCGTACAATGCTTTGCTGTTTATGCAAAATTCTGTCTTTATACTATTTGACATTTGTCCATGTAGCTCCCACTCATTTCAAATCAAACCTCAACTTAAAATATTGAACAAGATCAAACACTATCTCCTAATCATCTATTTAAAAAAATCAGGATTTACCAATAATTCAGTGTAATCGTGACCAAATGATCCTGTTTACATAGAATAGATTTAAAGTAAGGTTTTTAGTAAGAAGAGCTATTTGTGACTAATAAAGGATTATCTTATCTTATCTTATTTTATTTTATTTTATTTATCTTATCTGGGGCATGTTATGTTTTCGTTTGTCTGTCAGTTAGAATGATTACGCAAAAACTCCTGAACAGATTAGAATGAACTCATTTAACTTTTGCATTAAATCCTGGAACTTGATGAAAAACGTTTTTAGAGGACTGATATTTATGGATGCGTCCCATTTTTTCATGAGACGAGCTATTCTAGTTATTTACTATAATCATCATCTTATAGAAGCCACAGCTTCATACCGAACCAACCATAATAACAATGGATTATATTTGAGACATAATATGATATTAGACCTGTCTTGGTTTCTCATCACTCTGCTCTTGTTGGAGTCTGAGTCCCAGGCAAAGCTCAAACCTTATCACCCTCCATGGAATCACCTCACAGCAGAGGAAGTGTGTGTTGGTGAAGGAGGTGTAACCGTGTGGGGGTGGGGGCCTTAAAAACCGTGCAGCAGTTTACCCAGGACATGATGTGATGCACCAGTGATGCCCGGTGCCATTTAAAACACGAGGGGACTCGGCACAAGCCAATCCTGCAGCACGAACTGAGCAGGACCTGCAGCTGAGGACGTGATGGAAAACCCTGAGTCACAGATTAGAAACTGGATTCTAGGAGTCTAGTGTGAAGGCCTGTGTGACTTTATCACAACCAACCACACATGCACCCAGTTGACCCTCCTGAGCGCATCCATGTTGAGGCCTGCACCAGCTCCATGCACGCACACACACACACATACACACACACAGAGAGAGAGAGAGCTGCTGGAGCATCAGCTGGAACAAAAGACTAAAAGAAGCTGATATCACAGTCTGATCCGCTGCGTCCTGACGGTGCAGAGGGACACACACTGGTTTTGGCGCATGACCAGAAAATTGCACGATGATGAGGAGGAGAAGGAGGAGAAGGAGGAGGAGGAGGGAAGCAGCTTCAGCAGGTCGGTAGTGGTGCCATGTTCAGATAATGCGGAATTTCTCGTGTTGCGGCCTTTTAACGCAACTTGGATACAATCCGCCATTAACAGCTGACACCAGCCTGGTTCAGCACGGAGACGCTCCGGTGGATGAGACGCTCCACCGGGGGAGGTGAAGCAGTGCTCAACCCTCCTCTCCCCCCCCAACATACGGATTTATAATGTTAACGTCCGATAATCACCTTATAATCAATATCATTGCATCACACGGTTGGCTATAATTAGCCAGGGCGTGAGACGCTGCAGCACCGCGTCGCATCAGCACAGTTTTATGATGCAGCTCCAGAAAAGCGGCGCAGATTTTTTTTTTTTTTTTTGGGCTCGTGGGGGTAAAAGGGCGTTTGTCGGCTGCGTGTGGCTCCAGGACACTGGTGTTCTCCACCAGAGGGCTAATCACCGCGCGTTAAAGCCGTTTTTCCAAGTGTCCGCATGCTGGAAATGGACAAATTGCGCATCCGCACCGCAGGAGACAACCAGTCTGTGCAGGTTACTACCGCAACCGCTGTGGTTTACAATGGGATGCGATGAAGCACCACCTTCATCCTCCTCCTCCTCCTCATCATCATCCGGATCATCTCAGCCATCCGCATCCTGCAAACACACACTCACTCACACACACACAAGCTTTTACGCACAGAGCGCAGCGCCGCAGGGAATCATCTCGCCACATTAAGGGCTCAATAATCTGAATCTGAAATATAAAAATCTTACTTTCTCCGACCACCGCCTTTAATCCGATAGGTGCCATGATGCTGCCGAGTGCTGGGGCGACTGATCTCCCTCTGCTTCCTCCCTCTCTCCCCTCCCTCACCTCCCAGCGCCGTGGAGGAGCCTCCAGCTGGAGACGTCACCGCGTATCCTTCCGCATCGTCCTCTCATTGGTGGGTCTGAGTCTTGGTTTTTACCGCAGCAGCTCTGGATGAGGCCTCTGACGTTCACACAACTTCTTTTACAACCTCTCGAGTCCCTGATGAATCCACATGTGTTTGAACTGCAGGACGAATCTGGTTTGAAATACAAATCATCTCTCTGTCTGGTCTTTCTGGTGTTTTCATAAAAAACAGGAATTAAATTGGCTATTTAACCATTTTTCACTCCAGAGAAGAAGCAATGATGTCAGACACAGAAGACCTCTTATGTGAATATTTAAAATCAATGAACTGACATTTCTGGTTTACGACTGAAATAACCGATAATTGACATTGTGGCCAATTAATTTGCTTTTAATCAGTTGATGAAGTTATAGTTTCTGTTGTCAGGGCAACAACAAATGATGAACGGAGTAAACACTATCTGATTATTGATTATAGATTATCAGAATATCAGGCTAATTGCTTTTTATTTTTCAAGACTTTTGGAGTATCTGGAAACTTTCTGAAAATATGACTGATTTAAATATTTCACTAATTCTTTGTGAGCATTATTTCTAATATGCTTTAAAAAAATCTCTCTCTCTCTATATATATATGTGGCTTCAATAATAAAGAGTCCACCAGGGGGCAGCATCTATCTGGGAAAGCTTCCCCACAGGACCTCATGGAACAAGTTTTCCTCTCAGGACAGAACCACAAACATTTCAATATTCACGTGTCTACGGTCAGAACCTCAAATAGAAAACTAAAACAACCTCTAATAGAGTTAATTCATTAAATGCACAATGAAAAACCCTTCTGATAATAAGACGAATAGAAAAGAGGTGAAGTTTAAATCAAGGAAGTTTGTTTTCTCATGAGATTCAACAGCGCAGAGACTGAAGCTGATCTGAGGCTCCTGGTTCTGGACACACCCTTGGCAGCGCCGACTGAACACGTTGGACCAGTGATGACTCCCAGAGGGTGTGTCCTGCACACGGCTGTGAACCAGCCCAGTGTTCACCTCCTCCTCCTCCTCCTCCCCCTCCTCCTCCTCCAGAGAGAGGACGCAGAGCCGCGCGCCTCTCACCAGGAGCAGTGCGACACTTTTACGCAGCGGCTCAGTGGATATTTGACTCTTTGCTGGAAGTTTCCACCCGAAGCCCAGTTTGACCTGGAGGACTCTGGTACCTGCAGGACCTGTCGGGCTCTCCGGTCACCATGGGGGACGTGGTTTCCTCTCACCTGGATGAGAGCAAGAGGGAGATGATTACAGGTAAGAGAGGAGCTGGACTTCAGTCTCTCACTCACTGAAGTGGCTTGAAAAGTTTTGATCTTCAAACTGAAACTTCCCTCAGAAGTTTATTATAGCTGTGAGTTTTTAAACCTCTCCAGTGGACACATAACAAACTTAACACCATTATTTTATTAGATCTTCCTGCTCTTTAGTCTGTCAGTCATAAAAACACTTGTGCACTGGAGTAAACTCTGACTTTAAGTAAAAAAAAACTTCTTTCTAACCGAGTTATCAAACTAACTCGAGGAGATAAATCCACCAGAACTTCAAAAACAGTCTGTGACAGCTTTATTAAGTATTTCTTATCCTACAGTCGGGGAATCACCACGATATTCTCTTTTATTAGATTTTCCTTTTCTTCTGAATCATATAAAACAGATGTGCTGGACTCAACTCTATTTCAAGATGAAACAAACTTCTTTTTAACCGAGTTATCAAACTAAGTTGAGGAGAGAAATCCACTGAAACAGCTTCATGAAGTCTGTGTTTCCTCCAGACCCAACTCAGCATCATCTTTATTATTTGATCAGATTTTCTTGCTCTTTTAGTCAAAATTACATGAATTAAAAAAAAAAAAAAACATGTGCTGGAGTCGAGCTCTATTTTTAGATCAACCAAACTTATTTAAACCGAGTCACGGAAACTGAAACTCTGCAGAAATTGTGCATAAACTCCGTTTGAAATCCAGCTTCCCCCACCTGTTCTCTTGTCATTTATATCTGTGCTTTGTTGCTCTGCTCCCCTGAATCCTCCAGCTCTGCTGCAGGCCCATTTCTCTGAGATAATAAGTAGGTTTCCCAAAGGGAAGCGTGTTTGTATAAGTTCGGGACAGAGTGCTATTTAGGTCTCAGATTGCTGCAGCCTCCCACCGTGCAGGTCTGAGGGATCATTTCGACTGGGAGCAGAGAAGCAGAAGAGACCAGAGGCTGAAACTCTCCCATGTGTCGATGAAATTATAAGACTCGGAGAAAAGTTTGTTTTTTAGTTTGACTTGGTAATTACATCCCTCAGAGTTGTGCATTCTAGAAACTGCTGTCGCGTCTGAGTCGTTTCAGGCTGCAACGCTACAGGTTCAGGATTGTACTTCTGTTCACTGGCCGGCCAACATGCATGAAGACAAACCACTTCCAGAAACCAAGGATTGAGTCCTTGAGGTTTGTTGTCGATGGTTACAGGAAAAAATACTCTCCGAAGTAGTTAAAAAAACTGGAAGAATAACATTGTTAGAGGCTGAATCTTGTGCTGATGCATTATTTCCAAAACCACAGAGTGTTGGAGCTGTGCAGTGTTGCTGAAGTTATTGACAAATGAATCAAAAACATGTTTAAATAATCGTTTAAATCACCAACAAAGGATAAAGGTCAAATATTCTCCAGCTTTTTCATCTCAAATGTGAGGATTTGCTTCCACCGTCAGTAATTACACCTCTGGGACTTGTGACGTGCTGATCATGCAGATGTTATTTGGGGCCTTTCAGTCTCATCTCGCAGTCGCAGACGGGCTGTGCTGTCACTGACGAAGGTGTGGCACATTGCATCTATCTGTGAGCGCAGTTATTCATTCCTGATCCCTCACATGCGTCATTAAGTTCAGCGCTATAACTGTAATCAGCTTTGCTTGATAGAAAAATAAAATAACTTAACCTGCCGTATTGTGCAGAGTTGTGTCAGAGGAGGAGGAGACGGTGAGTGAAGCCGCAGAGGTGACGCAGGTAGAAACATGTTGAAACTGTCTGGTTCTCTCACACCCTCCCTCTGATGAGCGTCTGCCGCCGCCGCCTCTTGCATGTACATGTATGGATGAATAGTATACGTCCTTTAAAGTGCAACCTACAAATCCTCTCTGGTCGTGGGTGTGCACTTTGTGTGTGTGTGTGTGTGTGTGTTAGGATGACTCTGCACTGGGAGTGATGTTTGGAGTGTGCTCCTCCCTGTGAGAGGTGATTTCTTCATTCTCGCCACTTCAGCACATTCTCAAACAAAATGATCTCCTCCCTCGTGTGCGAGCCCACGAAAGAAGACGCAACATGCACGTAGACATGTAGACACACTTTCCTGGATCTGCACCCAAATTCTTTCTTTTGTGGAAATCCGTTCAATTGTTTTGGAGTAATCCAAAAAAAAAAAAAAAAAGAGAGAAGAAAAATGAGCCAAGGCCTCAAAAAAATCTCTTAAATTCAATCAAGCTGCAGCAAGTTACACAAACTCACAGAACCAGGTCTGTAAATGAGCCTGACTCTTTTCACCACTTCCTCTGAGACAAACACACTTTGTCTGCAACATGGTGCCGCTTGATTGTTTGACTCCCCATAAGCACATGTCCGTGATGGCACCATGGCTCAGCTGGCGTTGGCTCTTTCAAAATAAATGGGAGCGCAAACGTCATTTTAACCGTCAGTGTTGCCAACTTAGCATTTCTCACATGGACCATGCACCAAAGTCCAGACCAATGGGAAGCAAGTGAAGCTCTGGACTTTGGTGTGTGTGATTTATGATGTGGTCTTTGCTCCCAAATTCCAATTTCCAACTGCCTAAAAAGTCCGTCCATGTGCAGCGTCCCAGTCTGCTGACTTTGGCACAGGAGGACCAGTGGAAAATACCGAAACTGTTCACGTTTGGAGCGGAGGCTCCGTGGACCAGCTCATATATGGTGGAAGTTTCCTCAGGACTGGACCGTCAGAGGATTTCAAAAAGTTTAACACTGTTTCAGCCGTCTCCCAATCTTCCTGTGACCTTCTGACCCGTCCACTCCTCCTGTAACACGATTAAATTGTGTGTCCCCGTCCTCCGTCTCCTCCACATTCCCTCCACGTCTGTCCTGTCCTGTCAGCTCTTTCCTTCCTGCTCTCCCGCTGCAGGCCGGCCGCCTCCCTCCTTCCTGCGTCGTCCCTTCCACAAACACTTGACGCTGACAGAGTCAAAACGCACCGATCGGTTAAAAACAAAACACTTTTCCAGAACTGCTCTGGAGTTTGGGAGAAGCTTGTGTCCCCTCCTGCACCTCCCTGCTTTATTTCTAAGATGCCTCCTGCAGAGACCCAAAGGGTCAGTCACATTTTTAGATCCAAGTGTCTTGTTAAACCAACAAATATTCAATTTATAAGAAAAATAATACTTTTAAATTGACGCTCAGGGTGAATTGGAACTATTATAACCAAATATCCATTTGCATTTTAAGAAAATAGTGTTATTAAAGTTATTATCTTAGTTATTAAAGCGTGTTTACTTGGGTTTAAATATTTTATTGTGTAATATTCACGTCTTATCAAATACTTACTGATAGTATTTGCTGGGCTGTAATAACATTCAAATGTCTGAAGACGGACACGTGACACAGACATGACAGAGCGAGTTGTGTTGAGAACACGTGACATGTTTGCTGAGTCTCTATCTAGAACTTGAAATTTGAATGTGACACTTTTCATAAAGAGCTGATAGCAGAAAACTTTAAACACTAAATTGAAAAAAAAAATATCTTTAAAGAAAATAGAGGAGCTTAATATTTTTATCTTCCAACAAACGATCAGTTTGTGTCGACCGTGTGATATTAAGTTTGGTTTCCTGATCTCGTGTCTGTGTCTTGCAGCTCGGACCAGAGACGTGATGAAGGAGTTCGGTGACGTGTACGAGGAGCAGTACGCCGTCGCTCTCTTCAACACCGTCCGCTACGAGATCGAAGGAGGAGGCGGGACGCAGTCGCAGCTGCTGCACCGACAGGCGAGTTCATTCAAATACAAAGATGGTGAAATAGAGCGAGGCCTCCACCTGTGATCCTAATCCCTCCGTCATTTCTGTCAACTTTCACCGGTCTGGACATTTATAGTAAATCAGTAATAATGACTATACTCACCACAGTAGCTGCAGCAGGTCACGGAGCTCACCTCCGACATGTTAGTAGATGGGACATGGTGGGACCTTGATACTGTGGCTCCACACCGCGATCACATTGCAAGATGGCGCCGTTCATTTCCGGGACATTTTGGCTTCATTTCTGGAGAGTGGGAGGAAGCGGCCCCTCGTCGTCCATCTTTATTTAAAGTCCAACGGTCGCGTGTAAACTCTGATTGATGTTTATTATCAGTCATGATGAAAAATACATTGGCTTAGCTCCACGTGACTCTAACCTGTCTAATCGTTTATTTACAAATCCTCCAGCTTCCTTTCGGCCACAGTTTTTAGCATCAGAGAAGAAATTCACACGGTTCGTTTTTTTAACGTTAGCTTCCATCAATATGAGCTTTGTTTGGCCGGTGGAGCTTGATGTTGAACACACGCTGCATGAATGAGCTCATTCTCGGGTCGACGTGAACCCCCCCCCCTCCTCGACCTCCCCGGTTCTTCTGTTCCTCTCGTCCTCTCTGGACTGAAGGTCCCACTTTTGTCCATGGCTTCAGTCACCGGAGGGAAAGTGGAGCACATTTCACACATGAGCAGAGACGCCGTTTGTAATTCTGTTATGGTCGTTCATCTCGACCAGCTGAGCTTTTAGCCGCCGCATGTGTGGAGGCTTGAGGTCTCCCTCACCCGCTGCAGGACGGACACGGCCCTGTGTTACATGTCCTCCCCACTATCTCTCCCCCTTTCATGCTTTGGTTTTAATCTCAAAAATACTTTATACTACTCCGTCACCCGTGCACAGCCGTCAATCTGCTGTCAAACTCAAGCGTTTCAGTTGTTTCTCTTCTCCGTCTGCGTCTGTCTCGTTCTTCCCTTCCCCTGACTCACGGGATCATTTGATCTCAGACATGAAACCTAAGAACACAGTGGGTGGTGCGAATCCTTGTGCAAATACTCGACCTCGCCTGTTTGGAAACACCTGGTCGTCCTCAAGTCTGTTGCACAATTAAAGGAGATGTCAACGAGAACGTTATTAAAAAGCCACAGCAATGAAATCCACGGAGAAACTGTAAATATATCAAACACAGGACATGTGGCTCATGCTCTGGTTATATCACTGTATTATGTTTTAGTGCTGAGGGTCTGTTGTCTTTCAGAACCCTCTGGCGGACCGGACCATTTTCTCCGGGAGTCTGTTTCAGTACCTGGAGGAGAACAGGAAGTGGAGGAATCGCTTCGTGTCGGTGCCGAACACCTACAGCATCGACCTCTATGAGAGTAAAACTGTGAGTTTTCTCTTACTGGATGATTTCTTTTGATTCGGGGACTTGTGTTAAAAGAGCTCGGTGTGTTTGGCATCTCTCTCGCAGGCACACGATCGGGGGCTGCATCCGAAAAGCACCATCAACGTTGCCGGGTACAAGGCCCTGACCTCGATGGAGGAGTACTTGGAGCTGATGAACACCAGCCTGCCAGGTGAGACGAGGACACGCACAGAAAATATGAACGCAGTTTTATATGAAAATCAAATTAACGGAAATCAGAAATTTGGAGTTGATGATGTTCAAAACCACCGAATTACATTTTCTACATATTCAATCCCTGACGCACCTGCTAGTTTCACTTCATCTTTACAAGTCTCCTTACTCCAGTTCACCCTCCGAACCTTCTTGTTTCTCGTTCCCTCCTGTGACTTGTTGCAGGAATCAAGGCCAGAGTTGGAAATCATCCGTTCATCAAGTGCGCGACCCAGTTCCCGCTCATCCTGTGGCACCCGTACGCCCGTCACCACTACTTCTGTGTGATGACGGAGAAGGAGCAGAAGAAGTGGCACGCCGTGCTGCAGGACTGTGTCCGACACTGCAACAACGGTAACAACACACACGATCATTTCGTCTGCACGAACAGGAAATAGCAACAAGGAAGGTCCCTGACAGTGTTGACTTAATGGTTTTCAGATTATTTATCAAAAAGGAACGATTATAAATCATGACAGATCAACTGAAACCTTCATTTGTCCAGGAGTAAGTAATTTGCGATACCGATATGTCGCTAAGTAGATCGTTATAAAATGAATACGTGAACACGTATGAAGTGCAAATCCATGATATTATGAAGTATTATAAATAAAAAGAAAACACAAAAAACGACCAAATATTAGAACTTGAATTATAAAATACGTAACAAATGAACATAAATGGAAATTCTTTCTGCTGTAAAATAAGTTTTTATATCAGGAGACACATCCTGATAAATGTCCTTGAAAGGCTCTGGCTCATCGCACATGGACGGTTTCTCAGTGTCTTCGATTTGTCCCCTGTACAATGAGTGTCTCTCTATCTCTGACGGTGATTCATACGAGGGTGTGTGTGTGTGTGTGTGTGTGTGTCGCAGTGTTAAGTCTTCACATACCAGCTGAGTGAGCTGGTGGATTGAGGAATATGAGATGCTGCAGGAATGATATGTATTTCTTTTCCTATTGTTCGGTGTCGCTCACTGTGAGCGAGGCATGTTGTTGTTGTGTCAGGATCCGAGTTTCAGATGTTACGGCCGAGTCTTCATCACTCGTGGACGTTTGTTAGAACCCATCACGATGAGGCGGCCTCTTATTTTGTCGTAGTGTATCTTTCACGAAGCTGTGTTGTGAATCGGCCTGCTCCGGGGTTGTTCGCCACACGGTATGTTGGTTACACGCATGCTTGCACGCTCGTGTTTGTGCACGTGTCATCTCATGTTCAGATGTGCTTTATTTAGACTCAAGTCAGAGGCAATCAGAGAGTGCAGATTTTGGGGAAGTCAGGATTAAAATACAAAACGACGTGATCAGGCTTTCATCGTGTTACAAGCGGATGTTTCAGGATTTTCCTGAAACATCTGTGAAATGAAAAGTGGGCTCTCAAAATGCATTTAAACTATTAAAGATAAATAACATCTTATCCTCAACTACAGATATTTTGGCAGCAAAGCTCTAGATCCTCTTCATTCTTAAACACTTTACCTCGGCTGACCCTCATCTTCAAACACGTACATACGCAAGCGTGTAAAATGCCTGTGGGTGTGACACCAGGCTTTGACTGCATGAAGCCGACGTATAGCTAAATATATCTGTAGGTTCTCGTTGGGATGGATGATGACACACAACTCAGGGAGTCACATAAACATATAAAAGCACCAATATGTGTAAATGTGTCCAGTGTGAGTTAAAGCCAGTCTCAGTCCTGCATCACGAACACAATCGAGCTTCATACCATTGAATTGAACGAGACAACGCGTTGGTTCTTAGCTCTTCAACACGCTGACAAAGTTGCTGAACCTGATCTAGCCTTGTTGATGAAGCCGTCTGAACCGTGCCGTGTGTATTCAAAGCGTCCTTAACCACACACGACAGTGCCAACACTGGTTTTATCAGCAGTAATTGTTTGAAAACATCCCATGCATGCGGTGAAGTGAGAGCAGCCAAAAAAAAAAGCAAAAACAGGAGGCGAGTTTCTTCATTTCGGGGGATTTTGAGGCAAAAACCAACACATGCTTGAATTAATTTAAAACCAAACTTTTGAGCACAAGAGTATCTCGTCTCGCTCACTCTTTACTTCCCAAAACGACCTGTCCGGGCACGCTCGGCGAGCGGCAGAGTCGCTGCTGTACATTCCAGCTGTGAGGCTGGGCTGCAGGAGCGTGTTGTAAGAAACACAGGCTGTGTTTTTACTGTCACCATGGCTGGTGGAAGTGTGGACTGGCATTCATGGGATTTCGGCCTGTGCCGACACGCCCGGTCTCACCTCCACCTTGTTGGTGTTGTTGAGGAGAAGCAGAACTAGTGAAAGAGTTTTCCTGAGGGCGATAAATGGTTTTACAGCTCGACCCCTGAACTCGCTGCAGTTCCTCTCAATCG